GAGAGGTGTGGCATACATGGACACAGCCAGCCAGCTAGCTTCATAGACCTAAGCTAAGAAATTCAGTTTCTCCTAGAAGTAACAAAAGGATAGAAATGATATTAAATCTAATTTTTCCTATTTATACGCACTTCTCAAATCTACTCCTCCTGGGTCCTCTTTTTCAAGTCATAGTATCCAGACCATGACAGAAATGGTCATTTACAATTTACTACACAATAATTTCTTGCCTGCTGGGTACTAGGAGGTAGGGATACAGTGGTCAACAAGACAGACCTTACTCTTCTTGTTCTCGCATATTTCACCTATTCTTTACAAGAAGATTTGGATGATGCCATACTGCAGGCCCAAGGTGATCCATTTCTCAGCAAGCCTTCATAATTGACATGAAAGCCTTCAACTAGATACCATTGGGTCTTCTAGGGGCAAGTATAGTCCCACTGGACTGGGGTACTTCTTCAAACTCTCAGCCTTGAAGGTTGGAATGCATGAAACTCCTTTTCTTGGTCTCTGATACTAAACCAACTAGTAATAAGGTAGAGGTTATTCCCTTCATTACTCCAGGTTGGATGGATGAATGAAAGACCAGGCAAACCCACACGTGTGTGTTAGAAAATGAGGCTCTCACACTCAATGGAGTGTGTCAGAGTATTAGTCTTTTGCTATTAGCTAAAGAAGTATGGGCTACTACCAAGCAAGGGGGCCCAGTCCATTGAGCTCACTTGAAGCTCACATTGAGCTTCCTCCATTGAGGAGGAAGTAACATCTTTTTTAGGAAAATGTTAGATTCGTTTTTTTATTGTTGTTGTTTTGTTTTGAAAGTCCATTAATTCATAGATAGGAATTCACAGACTATTCGCTATTCTGAGAGCACCGGCGTCATAAGGAAAGAGCAGAAGTGATGAGTTCCAGTGGTGTCGAGAGTAAGTAAGTGCATGACAGCACTGTAAACGCACTTGGAGGATCATCAGTCTCTGCTCCTTTCCCCCAGCATCGACAACAAGAGCTGATGCTTGTAGAACTCAAAATCTGGGACTCTACAGCCACGAGAGGGAGAGTAAGGAGAAGGGAAGGGGAGGAGCACAGAACTTTAGACAGAAATCTGAAGAAAATTATGTCACATATTAGCTCCAGTTCTCCTCAGATTTAATGGAATTAAACTGTGAAGAAACCAGGCTACTTCCTTACTTTATTTTTAGCAGTATCAGTGAGAGGTCTAGCAGGGACATCCTGTTTTTAATTAAATTTGAAGCATCTTATTCCTGTTCCTGGGTAAATGGAGAGCTTTGGGGTACCTAGGAGCCCAGCTCTGGCTTTGCCTCAGTAGACTCAGAACAATTCCTAACTGTAGGAATATATGTATGTTAGGTATAGTTTGTTTCTTTTTTAATTTTTGCTCTTTTCTTTCTCTTTCTTTCTGAAAGAATAACTTTTTGGGATGCTGGAAAGGAAAGGGCTCACATCTGAACTGACAAAGACTAGAAGATTAACTGAAGCCAGGCACAATTCCAAGAGCCAACAGTTCACATTCTCTGGTCTGAAGGAAACCAGACCAATTCTTTTCACCAGAAAATGTGGAGCCTTCCAACAGGGAACCAGACAATCAAGACCTTGACCGCAGACTAAGGGCAAAAGAAGTTGAGAAGCACTGGGCTGTTTTTAGATTACAGATAAAGAACAGCACCCTGCTTTGAAGGATTTATATACCAGGGAAAGAGGATGGATGAAGCCATGGAAATTTCTTTTGGAAATGCTGCTAAAATAGGATCCTAATCTATATGTCTGGAATAGTGTAAATAACTTTCCCGCCTCCAGTTAGAAGAATACATGAGATCAGAAACTTTCACACTTCCCTAGTGCTCCTTTCAGGCGCTTCCCACCCCTCATCCCCAGAGAGATGTAAGATTAGGGTCCCCTTGCTTTCCAGCCAAAAACATTCCTCCCTTATATTAGGTTTCATGTAAGATTTTGCTTAAAAAACTACTTTTTACTGCTATAAAGTTTAATCCACAGAACCCTTTTGTGTGTTTGTCTCTTTGTAATACCAAGATCCTTTAGAGAGAACATCACACATTTGTCTTCAGACCCACGTTCCCTGTTTAAAAGAATCCAACACTGTGCTTTTTCTAAACTGTAGTTATGGGAGGTTAGATGTAGCCTCAATGTGGAAGAGTTTTATTCTGTTTGAAGGAGTCCAACGGTGCAATCATGATAGCCCGACCACACAAGTAAAACCAAAAGTAAAGATCTATCTATCTATCTATCTATCTATCTATCTATCTATCTATCTATCTATCTATCTATCTATCTATCTATCTATCTATCTATCTATCTATCTATCTCTGTACGTAGATAGATAGATAGACAGACAGACAGACAGACAGATAGATATGTATGTAAAGATCCCAAACTTTTTGAGCCTATTAAGTAGAGCCCACTGTTTCACTTAATGGTGGTCTCTCTCTCTCCCCTCCTTCTCCCAGTATGTGTCTCTGTCTCCCTCTTTCTGAAAAGCTTTGTATCACCATTAAAAAAAATGCCAGGACATCCACTGCCGATGGGAGA